TCAGCGAGGCGCCAGCAGCATGTTGTGACAAATGTTGAGCGGCCTGCCCACGCGCAGACAGGTTGACAGTGTCCGTCAGCGCCTCAAGGCATGAAGCCTGGTCAGGGCTGGCGACGGCATCAAGAAGGCGCTGCGCCTTCAGCCCAGAAGGCCCGCTCGCGGAGCACTTGGGCAAGGTTCCCAAAGCAGCCAAGACATCCTTGTCTGAAGCATCCTCCTGCGGCCCGCTCAGGCCCTGCGGGATTCTGAAATCACGCCCCTCGGCTCCTTGAGGGTGCTTCCGCTCCGAGGCTCTCAACGTCGTTGAGCTTGTGTCAGACATTCCCTTGGAAAGCAATGCCCGGCCCGTCAAGGCCTTCCTCGGCTAAAGCGATGGCTCGGCGCCTCCGTTGCTCCTCCGAACAATTCGTGGACTGAGGTGATTTGGCAACTGTACGGAATCGCCACAACTCTAAACGGTCACCGTGTGCCCATTGCTGCAACCGGGTTCTGATGAGCCTATCCTGTGAGTGTTTGTGCTTCTTGCCGGATCTCGTGGTGGCTGCTAACACACATTTGGGAAGCATCAGGAGCTCGGCCCAAGCATCGCGAGAACGCTGCATTGCATCTTCGGTGGCGTGCACCCCTGGCGCCACGTTCTGGAAAACTGCTGATGCCAGAGCCCGGGTCAGAACATCAGAACAGTGGACCACAGACGCTTGCATGAGCCCGGCACCCGCTTCACAGTGCGAACGGCGGCCTGCATGACGTCTGCCAGGGGCGGCAAGCCCGCGGCCCCGGGCCCAGGAAGGCGGCCAAGATCGGGTGCTGGCTGCCCTGTGGGGCCCGCTGCAGACCGAGCGAGGTGCCGACAAGAAGGACGCATCGAGCCGGCAGGGCCGACCACGAGCCGCGCGCACCCCGCGCATGGCACCAGACGATGCTGCCGAAGAAACTCTGCCGGAATGGTTCCCTGCAGGGTGCCGTTCCGATACCCTTCGAGGTGCGCTCGCATGTTCTGCACCGAGCTCCACGGGCGGCTGCGGCGGTCATGTCGCGGGCATCCGGCAACAGGGCAGTGCACTCTAGCGCTGACCGCAGCAGCGTCGTAGCTGTCCCCCGGCGGCGGCGGCGGCGGTGGCGGCGCCTGCGGCATCGCCTCGTCGAAGTCCAACCTGCGGACCCCCCGGCGCAACTCGTCAACCTCCATCTCTGGCTACTGGCCGGGTCCCCCTGGAGGGACCGAGTCCGCCCTGCCGGCAACGGTCGCTAGACCATCTTGGGCTCCACGACGGTCCAAGGGTGGCGAGGATGCGCCGCGCTCCCGGCTACGGCTCCTCTGCCGCGCCTGGCGCTCGCCGCCCAGAGGCGTGCCTGGCAGTGGGGGGCCCTCCCCAGGGTAGCCCAGCGTAGCGTCGAAGTCCAGGAACCTCCACGCGGTTGCCCACGCCCCAGCCATAAAAACTTAAAACAGAAATTGATGAATCTGGGGCTGGCGTAAGTGGCGGCGAAGTTTTGGAACTCCCTGGACATAGCCAAGCCAGTGCAGGCGCCCAGGAGCGCGGCCAGCAACAGCAGTGCACTCAGCGTCCGAGCCGCGCGGGAGCACTCGCTTTTGGCGTGCACTCCAGGGGACGAGGCCGGAGGAGCGCAACTCGCATCAGCCCAGCCACGCCGCAGCGCTTCGAGGACCGAGTAGGTGCCCCACGAGATCTCAAGCGGAAAACTGTGGTTCTCGGATTCTCCGGCCTGCAGCCCACGATGTGCTAGAAGGCACGTCGCCAGGTAGAAGCGCCTCTGGCCGTGCGCGAGCGGGGGCGGCGTCTCCATGACGTACTTGAAGCGCTCCTCTCTCCAAAATTGGAGCCTTCCAGCCGCGAGAAGCCGGAGCTGCCGGCGTCGCGCAACAGAACCAGCGAATCTGTGTCGTGTCGGGGGCGCGTCCGCATGCTGCGGCCGGGATGCCCTGCGCCCTCCCCGGGGCAGGCCGCCAGCAGCAACAGCCAGGGTACAGCTTGCGATGACTACCCAGCGTCGCAGCAGCCGCACGAGAGGCACCATGCGGGAGGGAGGGGTGGAGGGAGCGCGCGCGAGCGTGATCTTGAAGTTTGACGTGGCGGCGGTGACCCTTCCCCTCCTCTCTGCCCCCTCTCCAGCCATCCCTCCCCACGTGTGGCCCCCCTCCGCCCTCCCCTCGCCCTCCCCCCCTCCTCCTCCCCCCCCCTCTGCCCGCCTCCTCCGCCCCCTCCGGCCGTGCCCTTCTCCCCACCACCCCCTCGCTCTTCGGCACACCCATCCCCTCGCCGGCTCTCGGAGGAGGGCCCGCCGAGCAAGCGCGGCGGCCCTCCCGCCCAGCCCGAAGAGCTGCTCGACGTCGGCCCCCGGACACACTGCACAAATGCACCCCGGCCGGCGCTTCGAGAGGCGGATTGTTTTTTTTTTTTTTGTTTGTTCGTCGCCGCGGCGGCATCCGCCTCGAGAGGCGGATGCCGCCGCGGAGACGAAACGCCTCCAGGAGGCCCAGGCAGGACGAAACACGCCAGGGACTGCCGCCGTTGTCTCGACTGGCCCTCCTCCGATGCACCCCTCCTCACCACCCCTCCCTCCCCATGCCCGCCCTTCCCCCCTGCGCCCTCCCAGGAGAGCCCAGAATCGAATCGGTAAATCGGATCGGCGATCGGAATGAATCGTGTCGGCGGAAATCGGCAGCCAAGTCGGGAAAAGTCGAATCGGCGGAAATCTGCACGCCAGTGTGCCTTCCATAAGAGATCGGAACCCAAATCGGAATCCCAAGTCGAATCGAATCAGAATCGGAGGCCATCGAAATCGAATCGAAATCGAATCGGAGAAGCCGCATCGAGCCCTGCTCTCCCCCCCCCTTCCCTTTCAAACATCCACCTCCCCTGCCAGGCCAATGAGGGCGTCCGCGCCGGTCCTGGGCCCCAGGATGGGCCTGGCCGAGATGGGTGGAGCGGACGCCTGAGGTCACCTCCCCCGCTTCCCCTGAAAGAACAGAACAGAGCATAACCATAAAGCTTCGGGGGTCCGCGCGGACTTGTTCGATCGGCGCGGGACCCCCCTGGCGGCGCCTCCAGCGCCGCCCTGCTCGGAGCGCAAGGGTAAGGGGTCCAGCACCGATCCGAGAAACCCGCGCGAACCTCCGAAATGACTGATCAAAAAAGGACCACTAACCCTTTCGGAGGGGGCCTAAGTTGGGAGGCCCAAAAACATGAGGGATAGGAGGTCTTGTCTGCAGATGTGTCGAACCGAACCGCCCAGAACTATCATCCCTGATACACACACGGGGACCCAAGTGAAGCCACATCCATCCTCACCATGTCATTCAGGCTAGGGGCTCTTCATCCCCCATGGGAAAGCTCATCTTTACGCAAATGTTTCGCCTTCGATCCCGCGGCTCCCCTCGCGACGAAGCCCAGCAGGGAGCGCGCGGACCAGAACGCGACGGCACCGCTCTGCCGGGCGGGCAACGTCCGCGGCGCCGCCCACGGCGAACCCGGCTCCCGGACGGGCAGGCACCGCGGCCGGTCTCACGGAAGAACCAAGCAGAAGCAGGAGTGCGGGCCCCGAATAGGAGGCACCACCACCACCACCACCACCTCGACTCCCCCCCTCCCCCTCCCATTGCCCCTCCGCTTCCTCGCGCCTCTCCCTGGGGGGGAGGGAGGGGGCGAGGGCGGCGGTGGTGCACATGCCTGGGCCCCCTGCCGCACTTCCGGAGCTCCACCGAGATTCCTGCGGGCCCCCCCTCCCTGGAGCGCGCGTGCGCGCCAGGGGCAGCGCGGGGGGCGCCGCCAAGGAGCATCCGGCGCCGCGCGCGGAGACCCGCGCGGGCCTCCCGGCGCGCACGCCTGCGCCGCCTGCTTCTCGTTCGGACTTCATACATGAAGGGGCCCCAGGACACACAAATAAATACACACAAATAAACAGATTCCCCATATTTTCCTATATTTTCTGGGTTTCTGTCTTCCCCCCACTTCCTATATTTTCCTGCATTGTCTGGGGAACCGAGGATTAATTGTGTCTGTGCGTTTCTTTTCCTCCTGAATACAGCGGGGGCCCGACCACGAGAGACCTGCCATAGGAAACCCAACCCTGAGACCCCAGGACGTCCGTTGATGTTTGTTGGCGTGGGCACGCCGTGCTTTCCATTCGCAAGACCATCGAAACCCAAGGAACCCAGGACGCCCTGGAGGCAAGCAGGGTGCTTCTTGGCATGGCATGGGTCTCCGCTGCATCCCCCGACAGGCAGGCCACCGCCACGCGGGTCGGACGAAAGGGTAAAAAAGCGGGAGGGCTAGCGAAGCGGCTCACGTAGCTGACTCTTTTCCGGGCGCCTCCTGGCGCCCCCGGCGCCAGGGCCGAGACCGGCTGCGTGGACCGGGAACATCGGCTTCCGTACCCCACCCCTTCCCAATCCCTCCCCTCTCGTCCGACCTGGCTGCCGGGTCATACCACTCGGGTCTCTCTGCCGACTTATTCGAGGCGATCTGGGCACCCCCGGAGCGGCCGCGGCGAGGCGCAGCTGCTGGAGGGCCTCCCGACGGGCGGGGTATCCGCTACTAGAACCAACGGGAACTGCGGAAAACCTCGCCCGACCCGACCAGAACCGCCCTCGGGGCGCCGGCCGCAGGGGAGCAACCCACTGGGGGCGAAGAGACGTGCACCCCTCGGGGCCCGCGGTGGCAGGTTGGGGGCCGCCGAGGGCCCCCTCCAGGCCGCTTCCCTGCGGCCCGCGATCCCCCCGAGTAGTTAGTGTGGACCCTCCCCGTGGCCGCCCGCCCGACGCCCACCTCGGGCCGGGCGAAAGGGGGGGATAGCAAAGGGGGGGGTTTGAGAACCAGCTCACGTAGCTCATTTTCCTGGCGTCTCCCGACGCCGGGAGGCGCCCATGTATCGAGGAATCGACCCGGCGGCGGGGCCGAAACCAGCTGCATGCAGCAGCTTTCGTAACCCCCCCTTTCCCCATCCCCTCCTTTCATTCAGCCCGACCACCCCCCCGCCTCCAGCAGCTTCACGATCGGCTCGCGCAGGTCGAACGAGCGGCGCGCGGCGCCGTCGAGGCCGGCCCCGCCGCTGCGCTCGAGGTGGAGGCCTCGGCCGGTGCTCGAGGGCGGGGAGCGGCTGGAGGCACCGGGTCGCGAGGCCATGCAGGCAGCCCGCGCAGATCGAGCAAGCTGAGTCGTGGTGATGATAGGATTCCGGATTGAGAGAGAAACGGCCACAGATTCAGGAAATCCGTCTCTGAACTCAGTATATAAACCTATGTTTGCGCTTCCGACATGCTGTTCTGTCTTCTTCTGTGTCGGTGGCACGATGTAAAATGAGACCGTTCCCCGTTGTCGTACACCGCTGCTTTTCTGAACATAGCTCACAGACTGCGCTTCCATCCATCACCATGACCTGTGCCGGAACGCTCTCTGGGGCTATCCTGCGGCTCTGGCTTCTTAATTTGAAGCCCTCTTAGCTCTCTGCGAGCTGGGGTGGTGGAGGAGCTTCGGCCCTGCGGGGCCGTGCGCAGGCTCCCTGACCTGGCCCAGGCTGGAGCACCGCGGTCCGAAGCGCTCCCGACCGTGCGCCCTCGGCGCGCCGCCGAGCGGAGCAAGGGAGGCGGCCGACGGCGAGGCGCAGCGCCGCTGCCGGGAGCCGTGGCGGTGGTCGCCGGGGAGCCCAGCGCCGAGAGTCGATGATCAGGACGTGTGTTATTCCAATGTGTGGTTACCCCCTTCGGCCCGACCAGTAGATCATTACATCGCCTGCGTCGTATCGAGGGTCCTCGATGGACAAAAACACGTTGGGGCCAACACACGCTCGGCGGATCGTCGAGAGGGGCGCGCGGGCTGCCGCCAGTCCCAGCGGCTGGCGGCGCGGAAGGTGCAGGCAGACCCTGCAGTGAGGACGCACGGTAAGGCTGCAAGGAGGAGGAGGAGGAGGAGGAGGAGGAGGAGGGAAGGAGGAGGAGGAGGAGGAGGAGGAGGAGAAGAGGAGGAGGAGGAGCAGGACAGGAGCAGGAGCAGGAGGGCAGGAGCAGGAGCAGGAGCAGGAGGAGGAGGAGGAGGAGGAGGAGGAGGAGGAGGAGGAGCAGGAGGATGGGGGGATGAGGGAGGGGGGAGGGGGAGGAGGCAGGAGGGAGGAGGCAGGAGGGAGGAAGAAGGAGGGAAGAAGAGGGAGGAGGGAGGAGGGAGGAGGGAGGAGGGAGAGGGAGGAGGGGGGGGGGAGGAGGGAGGAGGGAGGAGGGAGGAGGGAGGAGGGAGGGGAGGAGGAGGAGGGAGGAGGGAGGAGGAGGAGGAGGAGGGAGGAGGGAGGAGGGAGGAGGGAGGAGGAGGAGGGAGGAGGGAGGAGGGAGGAGGGAGGAGGGAGGAGGGAGAGGGGGGGGATGAGGATGAGGAGGGAGGAGGAGGAGGAGGAGGAGGAGCAGGAGCAGGAGGAGGTGGAGGAGGAGCAGGAGCAGGAGCAAGAGCAGGAGCAGGAGCAGGAGCAGGAGCAGGAGGAGGAGGAGGAGGAGGAGGAGGAGGAGGAGGGCCCTGGGAGGGCATGCCGACGCTTTGCGGGCGGGGCGCGGCCAGCGAGAAGGCGGCCAAGGACGGGCCGACGCCGGGCAACTCCTCATCATCATCATCATCATCATCATCATCATCATCATCATCATCATCATCATCATCATCATCAGCATCATCAGCATCATCATCAGCATCATCAGCATCAGCCTCATCATCATCATCATCATCATCATCATCATCATCATCATCATCATCATCATCATCATCATCATCATCATCATCATCCTCATCCGCAGCCTCAGCCTCCTCCTCCTCTTCCTCCGCCTCCTCCTCCTCCGCCTCCTCCTCCTCCTCCGCCTCCTCCCCCTCCCCCCTCCTCCTCCTCCTCCTCCTCCTCCTCCTCCTCCTCCTCCCCAGAATATGATTCCTCCTCTCGGTATGCATATCCTTATTACTAGTATTGGTAGTCTTCTTTTTAATAAGAACAACAAGCGCTAGTATCATTATGTGTCACATTAGTATTGATATTAGCATTAGTTGTCTTATTATTGTTCTTATTATTAGTCTTGTGCGGAATATTATCTTGTTATGTTTCTTAACAATATTAGTGTTCTTATTCGTATAATTCGTATCCTTACTAATTGCTATTATTAATTATGATTATGCTAATTATCATTGCTCCTCCTCCTTCCCTCCTCCTCCGCCTCCTCCTCCTCATCATCATCATCATCGAACCCCTGCGTTCCAGGGCTGGAAGAGCATGCGAGCTTGGATACGCGCTAGAACGGGCGACCAGGGATCGATGGGCCCACCGCTGGGCATTTCCTCCTTTTTCCTTTTCGTCGCCCCCAAGGGGGGAGGAGGAGGCAGGCGAGCATCAGGAGGTGGAGCTCACAGCTCGGAGCGGCTGGCATCGTGAGACAATCCCGTCTCCGACGGAAGGCATCTTGGTCCACGGAAGCTGGGCGTAAGTCGGGCCTGTCCCTCTACAGGGGGAAGGCTCAAAAGTAAACAAAAAAAAGTCTGGAGACGATGTTCTGCATATTCTTTATCACTGTTGTATATGGTTTGCGTATAGTTGTATTCCCTACCTAGGCTCTGCCTAGAAGTGTTCTTACTCGGTATGCTTAAAGGGCCGGGCAGTGGGGCACGCCCCGGGCGGTTCCCCCGGCATCCGCCCCGCGGTTCCCCCAGTGACGTTCCCTTGGCTTCGCGTTGCTTACCTCATCTTAGGTTAGCCTAGCTTAACTGAACTTAGCTTTGTTTAGCTTAGCTTAGCTTAGCCTAGCTTAGCCTAGCCTAGCCTAGCCTAGCTTAGCTAAGCTTAGCTTAGCTCAGCTTAGCTTAGCTTAGCTTAACGCAGCATTAGCATAGCATAGCATAGCATAGCATAGCATAGCATGCCATATCGTAGCATAGCATAGCGCATCATATCATAGCGCAGCATAGCATAGCATAGCATAGAATCGCATAGCTTAGCTTAGCATAGAACAGCGCAGCATATCAAAGCATAGCGCAGCAAAGCATAGCATAGCATAGCATAGCATAGCATAGCGCAGCAGAGCATAGCATAGCATACCATACCGCCTTTGCATAGCATAGCATAGCGCAGCATGGCATAGCATAGAATAGCATAGCATAGCGCAGCATAGCATTGCATAGCATAGTCTAGCATAGCGCAGCATAGCATAGCATAGCATAGCATAGCATAGCATAGAGCAGCATAGCATTGTATAGCATAGCATATCATAGCATAGCGCAGTATATCATAGCATAGCCTAGCATTGCATAGCGCAGCCTAGCATACCCTAGCATAGCATAGCATAGCATAGCATGTTAATGTAGCTGTCGGTGTAGATGTAGATGTTGCTTTCCTAGGGGCTCCAACTCCTAGGTAGGGTCGCACTGGGATAATTTATCCTCCAAAATCCGCCTGTAGGGGGACATGCCCGACCTAAAGCTAGGCACGGGCTCCAGCGAGGCCGGCTGCGACCTCGTCTGTATGGACACCCAGGCTCTGTGCGGCAGACTCCGCCTCGTGCAAGAGTGGCCACTCGCGGGAGGAGAGAAGGGAGGCCGAGGGACGGAGCACGGCGGAGCACGGAGGAGGACGTGGAGAGAAAGAGAGAGAGAGGAGGGGCGTCGGAGAAGATGAAGGCCTTGCTTCACCAGCGCGAGGCCCGCATGATGACGCATGCAGGGACAAACGGCTCGACCTGGACACGAAGGATTGCAAAAAAAACCCTCCTTGAACGAAGGATTGCAAAAAAACCCTTCGTTCTTTTGACACGAAGGGTCTTTTTGCACGAAGGATTGCAAAAAAAACCTCCTTGAACGAAGGGATTGTTTGCAATCCTTCGTTCTTTTGACACGAAGGGTTTTTTGCAATCCTGGGTTTTGTTGCAATCCTTCGCCTCGGGTGCTCACCCGAGCACACGCCCTTCCAGGCCCGAGCAGCTCCCGTGGGCCCGGGGGAGGCTCCCGTGGGCAGGCTCGGGCGAGACGCCCAGCCTGTCCTCCGGGCCGTGCACGAGACACAAAAAAAAACAGCTCGCCGCAGGCAGACAGCGGGGTGCCACCAGAGGAGGAGGGAGGAGGGAGGAGGGAGGAGGGAGGAGGGAGGGAGGGAGGAGGGAGGAGGGAGGAGGGAGGAGGGAGGAGGGAGGAGGGAGGAGGGAGGAGGGAGGACGACGAAGGCAGGATCCTCTATGCCACGCTCGCCTTTGCTCTTTCTTGGGAGCGGCCAGGAGGGGGGCGTCCAGGAGAGGGGGGTGCAAAACATGACCGGCGGCACGTGCGCGGCCCAGCGGGGAAGCCAGGGACGTAATGAAATGAGAAGAGGCGCCATGAGATCTGGGGAAACATCATGGCCCCCGTCATGATGTCCACCCCCCCTAGTCATCACCCCCCTCTTTTCCGCCCCCGACTTCCGAAGGCCCGTGCGGACCGTCGAAGGCTCTGGCCTTTGTGCCGCTCCCTCGCCCCCTCCTCGGCCACAGGGAGCGTGGAGGACGCGGAGACGGAGACAGAGGCACACGGAGAGAGAGAGAGGGCGAGAGAGAGAGGGCGAGAGGACCCCCGCGAAAAACACAGCCGAACACACACACACACACACACACAGACACACACACACACACACAAACACCCACACACACACACATGCGAACACACGCACACGCACACGCATACGCATACACACACACACGCGAACACACGGGCCGACAAGAGAAGCCACGGCGGGCGATCCGGGAAAAATCCGGGGCGCACAAGCTGGGGGCGAGAGAGAGGGCGGAGGAAGCGAGAGAGGCGAGAGGTCGTCGTCGTCGTCGTCGTCGTCGTCGTCGTCGTCGTCGTCGTCGTCGTCGTCGTCGTCGACGGGCGGCACAGAGCATCGCGGCGGCCAGCCTCGGGACGCATGAGACCTCCAGAGAGGCCGCCGCCCGGACGCCTGGAGCGCAAAAGACCGCTCACGGCGACAGGCCGGTCCCCGAGAAAAGGCCGGGATCCTCGGAGCACACGCCGCGAAAGAAGATTACAGTAGGAGGCCAGTCCACAAGAAGCCTGCAGCAAGCAGCCCTGGGGAAGTCTTCGCTGGAACGACTGTCAGCCCGGGAGGCCTGGCGCCGGGCAGACAAAAGAATAGAGTGAGGCATGAAGCGGATGAGAGCCGACTGAGGGCCGCTCCACCGGAATCGGGCCACATGCCGCGAGAGACGATGCACCGTCGGAGGAGGAACAGACGCCAGGAGACGCGAGGCCCGGGCGCTGCTGGCGCACAGGCCTGCCTCGGCCCTGGCGCTGCCCGCTCTCGGGCGTGGCTTAATGGGGGGGTCACAAATGGGGGGGTAAGAAAAGGTCCCCTTTCGTGCCCCTTTCGGGCCCCTCCAGAGCCCCAGGGGGCTCGTTTAGGTACCGTTTGGGTACCTTTTCGGACCACGCTCGCCACCCCCCCATTTATGACCCCCCCATTACGCGGCGCCCAACGCTCTTCCTTCGCCGGCTCCTCCGGGGGGGCAGTTCGCGGGACGGAAGCCCAAAACAAGTGTCCCGCGGGGGGAGGCCCTCTGCGTGACCTCGGGCGGACATCGTCACACCGTCGCATCTGTCTGCGGCCGGCGGGCCCGCCGGGCGTTGCTTCATGGGGGGGGGGCTGCGCACCAGGGTGGGCAGCGGTGCACCTCTAGTATACCTGCGGGGCCCCTTGTGTTTCCTTTGTGGGCCCCGTGCAGGGACCCTTTTGATGCAACGCTCGACCCTCCCCCCACTCATCGTCCCCTCCCTCACAAAACACGAGGGCCTTCCTTACACAACTCGACCCTTCCTTGCAAAACTCGGCCCTTCCTTACAAAACACGAGGGCCTTCCTCACAAAACACAAGGGCCTTCCTTACAAAACTCGACCCTTACTCGACCATTCCTTACAAAACAACGCGCCCCCTTTCTTGCAACACTCGACCCTGCCTTACAAAACACGAGGGCCTGGCGGGCGATCCGATGCCTGGGCGCGGGGCCCACGAACACAGCTCTCGCGCACGGCCACTCCGCGTCCTTGAACTCGACCTCCTCTGGCCACGGCCTCGCGGCACGGGGGACGGGGCCCTCAGGCAGTTCCCTCCTCCTCATCCTCCTCCTCCTCATTTTCCTCCTCCTCCTTTTCCTGTTCGTTTTCCTCCTCCTCCTCCTTCTCCTGCTCACCCTCCTCCTCCTCCTCCTCCTCCTCATCCTCCTCCTCCTCCTCCTCCTCCTCCTCCTCCTCCTCCTCATCATCATCATCATCATCATCATCATCATCACCATCATCATCATCATCATCATCATCACCACCACCATCATCATCATCATCATCATCATCATCATCAGCATCGTCGTCATCAGCATCATCATCATCATCATAATCATCATCAGCATCAGCATCATCATCATCAGCAGCATCATCATCATCATCTCAGCATCATCATCATCATCATCATCCTCATCATCCTCATCATCCTTATCCTCATCCTCATCCTCATCCTCATCCTCATCCTCATCATCATCATCATCATCATCATCATCATCAGCATCATCATCATCATCATCATCCGTCTAGTCTATGAATAGCTCCTCCTTGTGGCACCCCCGAGGGTGCCAGCTCGAGGCGAGGCGTTTCTCCTGAGCGTCCCCCACCCTGGAGTTTGTAATCTGCAACATATTCAAAGATGGAGGGGGTCGTTTTTTTAATGCGGTTCCCGCATCAGTGCCGCGGACATTCGCACGAGATTCACGGATGGAAAGGGTCTCATTCTCAATCTGATGAATTCGCCCTCGCGCCAGCGCATTACTCTAAACCCCCTTTCCTGATTATCCGCAGCATGCTTGCCCAGGCTTTCCCCGAAAGGCTTCCACAGCGGAACGGGGAACGCCTGGTCTGATAACTTGTCAAAACTCTGGACCCAGACGTTTGGCCACAGAGACGCTTTTCAAAACGCAGGGGGACAGCGGTGATTCGCCGTAGGCGTCTCCGATGCCTGAAATCTCCGTTCTCGCAAACAGGCAGCGAACAGTTCCGCGCATCGGTTCGTGCTCAGGTTGTGCCGAACCTCTCGGACCTCGGGCAACGTCGCATCGAAACCCGGGCCGGTTGTGGTAAGGTTCGGTGGGGCCGCTGCAGCTGCCGCCGCGGCCATTGCGGGAAGGAGCATGCTTCGCGGAGGTAGCTACGCTCACCGAGCCCGTGGGGCGAACCACGGGCTCCGCTGCCATGAAAGTGCGGTGGGAGCCTTTTTTACCTCGGAGGCGGTCAGAGCGTGAGCCAAAGGTAGCACGACAGCGGTATCGAATCTGGACGCACCAGTCTCACCAGCTTCCCAGCCAGAACGCTACAGCATCCTTCTCCTCGTAGAGCGGGCTGGGAGATTCGCCTGAGATTCCCTCGCCACTTATGACCCGGAAGCGTAGAAATTGGCCACCGTTTTACAAATGGAGGGCGGGCCGTTTTCAAAATCTGGCTCTCGCCTTAGCACCGAGCACATTCGTCATATAAATTCGCAAGAGCTTCACGGATTGAGGGCGACCGGTGTTCAAAATGTGGCTCTCGCCCTAGCGCCGCGCACTTTCGCTTTAATGAATTGCAAGAGCTTCACGGATTGAGGGCGACCGGTGTTCAAAATGTGGCTCTCGCCTCAGCGCCGCGCAGATTCGCTTTCAACATGTGCAAGAGTTCCACTGATTCCCATGATGAGCGTACCAGAAATGGTGTTTCGCAAGGATTCAGGATTATGAATGCGACAATTACGTTGATTCGCGGTGTTGAAGTCCCAAGGATGGCTTTCTGGTACGACGCAGGCTCGTCAAGACGCAACAGTCAGGTTGATCCGTGGCGTTGGAATCCGGAGAACAATGTTTTGGACTGCTTCAGGGTCTTCAAACGGTGTCTTCCAACGCGGCAGTTCTCTCAGTGGAAATGAACCGTTGTAGGGGCGTATGAAGAGGGAGCTTGGAGGTAGGGCTTATTCCAACATCGTTGATGCCTCTTGGGCTTACACAGGTCTGACTTCTCCTCCTCATCCTCCTCCTGCTCCTCCACATCATCATCATCATCATCATCATCATCATCATCATCATCATCATCAGCATCATCATCATCATCATCATCATCATCAGCATCAGCATCAGCATCAGCATCAGCATCAGCATCATCATCATCAGCAGCATCAGCATCAGCATCAGCATCAGCATCAGCATCAGCATCATCATCATCATCATCATCATCATCATCATCATCATCATCATCCTGTTGCGCCACATCATCATGTTCATCCCCATCACCCCATGCCTCATCGTGGCTAGGGGGTGAGAGAGAGTGAGAGAGAGGGAGCGAGAGAGAGAAATCAAAAGAGAGAGAGAGAAGGACAGAACACTATAAGCTAACTCCTCCTCCTCCATTCTGCTCGTCCTCCTCCTCCTCATCATCATCAGCAGCAGCATCATCATCGTCAGCATCATCATGAGCAGCAGCAGCAGCATCGTCGTCATCATCATCAGCACCCTCACCCTCATCCTCATCCTCCTCATCATCATCACACCCACCAAAATCACCAAGACCACCACCACCATAATGATCATCATCAGCAGCAGCAGCAGCATCATCAGCAGCATCATCAGCATCCTCGGCATCATCATCACCATCAGCATCAGCAGCATCATCATCGTCAGCAGCATGATCAACATTAGCAGCATCACCATCATCAGAAGCAGCATCATCAGCATCATCGGCATGATCAGCATGATCATCATCAGCATCAGCATCAGCATCAGCAACAGCATCATCAGAATCGGCGTCATAATCATCATCAGCATCATTATCAGCATCATCATCATCATCGTCGGCATCATCGTCGTCATCAGCGTCATCATCGTCACCCCTTCCCATTACCTGGTACAGCCCACGTGCCTCACCGTGGCTGGGAAGAGAAAGAAATATCAAAGAAAGAGAGAGAGAGAGAGAGAAAAAGAAAGAAAGAGAGAGACAGAGAGAGAACGCTGTAATCGAACTTCTCCTCCGCCTCCGCCTCCTCCTCCTCCTCCGCCTCCTCCTCCTCATCATCATCCTCCTTCTCGTCCTCATCCTCCTCCCCATCCTCCTCATCATCATCCTCCTCCTCCTCCTCCTCATCATCATCATCATCATCATCATCAGCATCATCATCCTCCTCCTCTTCCTCCTCCCTTCATCCCTCCCTCCCTCCCTCCCTCTTGACTCCTCCCCCTCGTCATTGCTCCTCCCGCCCCCATGTTCCCCTTCTCCCTCCACCGGGCCCCAGGCAGTGCCAAGGGGGGGGGTAGAGGAGGGCTGCCGGGAAGCGCCCCGGGCCCAAGGCCCCCCCAGGATCTCCCGGGGAGGCCCAGCGGGCCTCCCGAACGCCCCCTCGCGTGGCCAAGAGGTGCCCCAGGGCCCCATGGGGCCAGGGGCTCTCCTCCTCCTCCTCCTCCTCCTCCTCCTCCTCCTCCTCCTTCTCCTCCTCCTGCTCCTCCACGTTCATTATGTTTACTCATCGTTTTCCTCCTCTATCTCATCCGTCTCCTCCTCCTCCTCCTCCTCCTCCTCCTCCTCCTCCTCCTCCTCCTCCTCCTCCTCCTCATGGAGCGAAAAGCTGGGGACACCTCGGTCCAGGGGCATCTTGGGCCCCCTTGGGACAGACGCCTTGAGCCAGGGGCCCAAGGACACCCTGGGCCAGGGGCACCTCTAGCAGCCCCCGAAGGGCGGGGGGCCGCCAACTCCTCCTGGACACGGGCAGCCCTGGGCCCCACAGAACCCACCTGGACTCCCAGAGACGCGCAAAAGCGTCCCAGGCCTTCTCGGTGCTCGATTTCCCCTCCTCGTCGATCCTCGATTACCTGGGGGCGATGGTGAGCCCCCTGACGGTGACCGAAGTCAGTGCCTGGGGCTGCCAGCTTCTGTCTCGCGCTCGCGCGGCCAGCCTGCGGGGCCCTCTGCTGGCTGCGGCGCCTTCTCGGCGTGCCGTCCAGCGTCTCTCTGTCCTCCCCCCCCCTCTCCCTCCCTAACCTGCATGCCCTGGCTTTTCCATGTTGCAACCCGCGCCCCCGTTTTCCCTCCCCACGCCTGTCCTGCTTGCAGAAAGGTTCCGTTGTTGCTGCACCGACACAAGGACCCATAGCTTCGCTCACGTTATCACAACGATCATGACATTGGCAGTTAACGTGATCCGTTGATCTGGTGGTTGCGCCTCACTGGCTGCGTCCGAGGAGGGGCAATGGTAGTGCACAAAGGACGTCACACAAATGATGATGGTATCGCAGCAGCAATGCGAACCTGCTCCTGCACAGGTGCCATCTATGAGAGACTCAAGAACGATCTCGAGTTCAAACGACGACGCTATAGACAGCAGCGAAAGCGGCGGCGGTGGCATCACGCTCGTGTATAGTCACATCTCTAAGGTGTCTCAACATTTAATGTATTACGGTAGCATATACTCCCGAACTGCGGGTCTGTAGTCAGACAGCAAAGCGGGTGTGCAGGACAAGCCTGACGACTCTGCACTGATGCAAGATGGCATCCGTGCGCGAACACGCGAGATGCCTCAGGCCTGGCAATCCTGACTCGACTCCGTCACCCCATAGACACACTCCACGGCGACTTGTGAGGGGGCTGATTGTCGCCAGGGCGTTCTCGGCCGCCACTTCTTCTCGAATGCCCGATAAGCGCATCGGCGGCCCTCGTTGGCGGGGCACCCCAGATGACGCAGCCGAGTCGCACTTCGAAGAGAAGCTCTACGAAGCAGCATCTCCCCCTCTCTGCCCGCGTGTCCAAGCCCGAGCGCGGGAGGTCGCGCCTGAGAGTGGCCATGCTCGCCGACCTCTCCTCGAAGAGCTTCACCAGGTTCTGCCACACGAGGGGACGAGGGACGGGGCAGGCCAGCGGAGCGAGGATAACCGAGGAGGAGGAGGAGGAGGAGGAGGAGGAGGAGGAGGAGGCGGAGAGGGCGACAAGAAATATGTAAACTGCCTGTGGCCCACCCTGGGCCCAGGATCGGTGTATGGGACTCCCTGGCCAAGAGGGACCAAGGGCGGCGAGTATGCATGGATGTCGTCGCCCTGGAGGAGGAGGCGGAGGCGGAAAACGAGGAGGAACAGGGGAAGGATCCAGGAGGAAGGGAAGACACTGAGATGGGAAAGACAATGAGGAACAAGGATGGTCCAGAATAGGCCTTGATACTCGTTGCGCGAAATCTCTGCTACGCACATGCAGCAGCGTGGAACTGCAGGTTGCGAGTCTCCCTCTGTGAATCGTCTGCGTTGCCCTGCGCTGATCAGATGTATTGTGGATGGTGCACCCCCGTACACCACCACATGTCAGGAATGTATGTTGATGGCCTCTCGATGTCGCAAAAACTCATCGTAGAGTCGAGGCAAGTACGTTGCCGTTCTCGCTTGCTCCATGCGCTCGGACGTCGACACGTCTTGCCTGGAGCCATCGTACGGATTGTGTATGGTCTCGGAGCTGAGCTAGGCCCAGTTGGGCCTTCACGGGCTCCTCCAGTGCATTGGAGGCCACGTTCGGAGAGTAGTCAATCACTTTGTCCTGCTGGGGCCCCCTTGGGACCTTCCTTGGGCACTCCTTGGTGCATGCCCTCTTGGAGTCATCGTAGGCCTACAAGCTTGGAATCCCGAGCATACTTAGATACACACATACATAGTGCAAGCACGCGCGGGATGTGCACGCGCTCAGGTCCTAGCCAAAGGTAATGTAGGGCCCAGGGCCTTCCAAAGCCGCCCCACTGACCACTCCAAGACCCCTTGGACTCAAGCTGCACGTGGCAGACACTGGTGTGAGCTGGACATCTCCTTGTCGTCCGTTGTCGTCTCCTATTCGTCTTCCTCTGCTCGACCTCTTGCACAATTATACGAGGCCGACCCTCTGACCCTTCCCGGGCACAGGGACTTTCAGCCGCACCTCCCATGCATTGAGTACTCTGGGGTGCACGGTTTCCCCCGGGGCCGTAGGCGACCCGAGGAGGAGGAGGAGGTGGAGGAGGGGGAGGGGAGGAGGCAAGCTAGGTGCGCTCGCGTCATGTCTGACGTCCTACCCCTCCCTCCCATCCCTTACCATGGCGCTGATTTTCTCTATCCGCGGACGCGTGTCGTAGCGGACCTGTGGCTCCGCGCGCGCGTGCGTAGTGGGTGGTGGTGCACGTGCGTGCGTGCGTGCGTGTGTGCGTGGTTGTCGTGGTGGTGGTGGTGGTGGGTGGTAGTGGTGGTGGTGGTGTGGTGGTGGTGGTGGTGGTGGTGGTGGTGATGGTGGTGGTGGTGGTGCTGGTGTGGTGGTGGTGGGCTGGTGGTGTGGTGTTGTACTGGTGCTGGTGGTGGTGGTGGTGGTGGTGGTGGTGGTGGTGGTGGTGGTGGTGGTGGTGGCGGTGCGGCGCGGTGGTGGCGGGCGGATGGGCGCGCGAGAAAAAGGCCCGCGCTGGGGCGAGAACGCCATCCTGAACGACGGAGGCCAAACACCGATCCAAAAATGAGGCCCACGCTGCAGCGGGAGCACGATTCGGAACGATTCGGGAGCAGAAATGAGGCCGGCGCCTCAACGAGAGCAACATTTTGGGAAAAAATGACGCCGGCGCCTCAGCGAGAGACGTTTCCCGGGATTTCCCGGGCATCCTGTGAATAAAAAAACCGTACGCGGAGGGTGCGCGGCCATCACCCGGACGCCATCAGGGGAAGAGGGAGAGTATTTTCATATTGAGTAATTGTAAATGGAGGAGGATGAGGAGGAGGGAGGAGATGATGATGATGATGATGATGATGATGATGATGATGATGAGGAGGAGGAGGAGGAGGAGGAGGAGGACGGGTCGCCCAAGCCCTTCGGAGAAACCCTCCACCCCGGGGAATATCCTAATCCTTCGGCCCAAGCCTTTGACTGGGGCGTTCCAAGGTAGGCCCTGCGACACCCTCCCCCCGAAGACACCAAATCTGCACGTCAGGCGCAACGGCACGGCCTCATCAGCATCACTCGCCCAGTCACGCTCTCCAGCAGCACCCCTCCTCATAAATCCGCCGACTCCTCGTGGGTCTCTGGGCGTGTGAGCTTCTCCCCCCCTAATTACACGTCGGTCGGAAGAAGCAGGTAGAAACATGAAGTAGGAAGGCGTGGGAGTAGATTGGGTCTCCGCCCACCTCCTGGAGAGGAGGGAAGCGAAAAACCGCTCGACTCTTAGTAAGGCGCTAGAAATAAATTGGGATAAGGGAATCCAGAAATACCTACTTTCAACGACCGACGTGTAATCCCCCCTGGACCCCAAACCAAGAGTTTGACCATCCCCCCTGGGCCCCCGACAACCCCCGGCCGAACTCACCAGGAGGGGCCCAGTCCTCCCCAGGCTCCTTTTGGAGCTCCAGGACAGCCCCTTGAGGTCTCTCAAGAGGCCCCCAAGACGGTCCAAACGGGCCCCGAGTCGCCGAAAGATCGCTCCAAGACGCCCAAGACGGCCTCCAGACGGCCCGAAACGCTTCCAAGACGCTCCAAGAGGCCTCCAAGAGGCCCCCCAAGAGGCCCCAAAAAGAACCCTGGGGGAAACGCGTATTTATAGAAAATTCGCACTTGTGCTTTCACTACGTCCAAGAAGGCCCAAGATGCACCTAAAAGGGCGCCAAGATGGCCCAAGAGGGCCCCCAGACGGACACAGAAGCCCCCAAGACGGCACAAAAGGGCCCCAAGACGGCCCTAAGATGGGGGCCAAGCAGAGGGAACCCGAACGGAAATTTCGAGCCTTCGGCCCTAAGACGCCCTCAAGTTCCCCGACAACCCAGGGAGCCCCAAGAGGGCCCCCAAAGGCCCCCAAGAGCCCTCCAGGAGGTATCCAACAGGCCCAAAAGCTGCCTCCAAGACGCCCCCGAGAGGCCTCACACGAGACCACATCAGCCATCCGACCATCCGAGTGGCCTCGGACCCAGAACCCAAGCACGGTGGCGGCCTGGACCCGTGTTCATGCTGTCTGGAAACATTTATGGGCAAGTGTACTGCTCCTTGGGCACGTTTTTGGGCCGTCTTGGACGCGTTGTGGGACGCAGCCGGATCACCCGAACCCGCGGCTCAACGAGAACCCGCTCGATTCCTCGGAACCGCCGGTTCATCGGGCAACCCCAAGAGGGCTGGACCGTTCAACGCCAATCCGTTCGACACTAAACCATGCTTCAGTGCGTCGCCCTCGCCGTCGCCGACGCCGCCGTCGTCTTTGTACCCGAGGCTCGACCTTGATTGAGCCCGAGGAGGACGACGACGACCGCGCAGCGGCGACGACGACGGCGAGGAGGACGAAGGCGCGATGGCGACAGGCGGCAACAGAAAGGCCTCCAAGAAGCTCGAGAAAGCCGGATGATACCTTCCGATGACCGCACATAGAAGCCCCAAGACTCACCCAGGAAGCGACAGCGACGATCCCCGGACGTACTGGAAAGACTATAGGGAACGAACTACAACAAAGGGGTCGGCGGATGTGGCGTAAGCCTGTTGAATCTGAAAAGGACCCTGTGCCTTCGATGTCGAAGGCTGTGCCCCTGGACCCCGGGAATCCGGCTGAGAGCTCACGGGTGCAGGGCGCAGAAAATCAATATGTACTATCGCCCTCTCCTCCTCGTCCTCCCCCTCCTCCTCCTCTCCCTCCTCCTCCTCCTCCTCCTCCTCCTCCTCCTCC